TACGATAAATTGGCTTATCAGTAGTCCTACAAGGAGTAGTTGGACAGGCTGAATTGAATATCTGGTTGATAGCCCATAGTTCTCTTTGTAGATCAGTAAGTTGGCACTCAGGGTTTTTTGGACATCCCTGTATGATTCTTTCTGATCCTTCAGAGCTCAGCTGAAATGTTAGATCCTCACTGAGGCTTATTTATTCGTTTATGTGTTCAGTTGCTTAGAACAATTTCTGGCACATAGGAGCCACTCAGCCTAACTCCTCAACCTTGCTCATATGTCACCTTTTTAATGAGGTCTAGCCTAACAACCTTATATTTAAAATCGCAACACATTCATGTCCAATCCTCCTTTTCTCAACTCTACTTTTTCTTTTTATAGCCTTTCTTTATCTCCTTTATTTATGTGGCTCACTGATGACCCCAAGTGTCAAGAACAATGTGTGTCATGTAGTAGATGCAAAACTTGTTGAATTAATACCTTTGGTTTATTTCATTCACATTGTATACACAGTGGATGACTAGACATATTTTGAGCACTATTAAAATACATGAATTGAATCAGTGCATGACCTATAATGAATTGGATCAATTCTGGAACTCTAACAAGATTGCATTTTTTGGCCAAAGCCAGGTATAGTTAGTTCATCAAGGTAAATGCTGCTGTGATGTGTCTTGATTAGGAATCCTTATTCACTTGAAGGAATACACATTATATGACAGGAACAGTAAGCAGAAGAATAGAGATGGGATGGGAGGAACACTCCCATAACAGTTAACATTATAATATATTTCATATTTGCCAGACCTGAATGCTTTATGCATATTAACACATTTAATTCTCTCGACCATTTTATGCGGTCTGAGGCAATTGAAGCAGCTAGAGGTTAAACTACTTGCCTAAGTTTATTCAGTTGGTAGGTGGCAGAGCCAGGAGTAAAATTTAAGCTCTTAATTACTTTACTGTCCTGCCACAGTCTGCTTATACAGACAGGAGTGATAGTCTTAACCCTAGGGAAAGAGATTTCACATGATCTTTGATGATGTCCACATCAACAAACACAATCCAGCTTATTAGCATCTACCACACCTATTCAGTACTCTTTTTCCTTTGGGTTACAATAGAAAAGGATTCCTTCTACTGCTGTGCAAAGGCTGCCTCCCTACCTGAACTCTGGATCCCAATACCATCACTTTCTTAGAGACTTCCCTTCACCAATACTACCCTCTCTTCCTCTCCTGATTTTCTACCAGCATCTAAACATGCTCAGGTCTCTTGAACTCTACATTCCCTTCTAACTACTAGCTTTTCTACTTCACAGCCAGAATACACTCATTGTTTCCACTTTCGGCCTTCTGTTTACTCAAAACATCTGGTTCTTGCCAAGATCACAAATAGCCTTCTTGATGCTGTTAATGCTAATAGATCCTTTACAACACTTATCTTATTTGCTCAGTCTTCAGCTTTGGCACTGTTAATCATCTTGTCTCCTTGACACTTCCATAATACCATATTTTAAAATCTTCTTCCTAAAGTTCTATTCTCAGTTTCCTTTGGGAGCTCTCCATCCCTCCTCTACACATCCCTTAAATGTTGCTGCTCTTATTGTTGTGTCAGAGGCTCTCACATCTTATCACTGAACACTCTCTGGACAATCTAGTTCCCTCCCATGGCCTCAGTTACCATCTATTCGACTCTGTCCCATTGGCTGCCATATATCCATGTCTCTCAAGTTCAACATAGTCAAAAAGAACCAATTATCTTCATCCTATATCTCCTCTTTGTATGAAATCTGTCCTAGGAAATGTCATCTTTCACCCATTTGTCAGGCCAGAAATCAGGGCATACTGTTAATAAAATAGCTAACACATATTGTCTGCTTTCTACATGCCAGGCACTCTTCTGAGCATTTTTCATGTATTAGCACATTTAATCCTAATATTATGGGATGAGCCCTGGCATTATCCACATTTTACTGAGAAGAGATCTGAGGCACAGAAGAGTCAAGTAATCGGTCTTTGGTCATTCAACTGGTAAAGGATAGAGCTGGTATTTGAATGCTGGCAGTCTAGGTGGAGTTTGTAATCATTATATTATAAAGGACATAATCCTTGACTTCTCTCTCTCTCACCCTTTGTACTAGTCTGTTTCTGTTGCTTATAATAAAATACACAGAACTGGGTATTTTATAAAGAAAACACAATTTATTGCTTACAATTTCTGAGGCTGGGAAGTATAAAGTCCAGGGAACACATCTGGTGAGGGTCTTCTTTGGTGGTGGCTTTACAGCAACACAGGGGTCTCACATAGCACAAAATGGCAGAGCAGAGAGAGAGAGATGCTCACCTGCTCTCCTTTTAAAGTCCTCAGAACCACACCCACGACCACCATTAAACCATCAACTCTTCAAGGCCCCACCTTTCAATTATCATAGTAGGATTTCCTACCCTCAACAGTGACAGTGGGAATTAAGCTTCTAATATATGAACTTTGGGGGACACAGTTCAGTCAATCCACAACACCCTCATTCAACCAATTACCAAGTATTGTAGATTCTCCATGCTTAAATCTCTAGGTGATGTCTCTAAGGTATAAATCCAATCTGCCTCTTCCTTAAAACTCTTTAGCACCTTCCCCATGGCCATCAGGGTAAAGTCCAAGCGTTTAACATGGATTTTAAGGCTCTTCATAATCTGACCTTTACTTCTTCTGCCTTCTTAGCTTGTAGGTCCCCATTCTTGCACTCAAAGTACCAGCCAATGGAATTTAATTTTTTGCATGAGTCCTGTCTCCTTTCCATCAAACCGTTGCACATTGTTGGAATACTTTTCCTTACCCCTTTTATGTCTCAGCTTCAGTATCACTTCCACTAGAGGGTTAGATGGTTAATGTACTTAAACCTAACTCAGCACTTATGTTACTGTATTTTAATTAACACCTCACTTACTTTTTAGTATCTTCCAGTAGATTGTGGAGATACTAAAATTTCCTTGAAGGCAAGAAACAGTCCACCTCTTTAATATCCTCCTCTTTCTCTGTCTGCTACACTACTTCAGATCCTCATTATCTCTAGCTTAGACAATTGCATTAGTCTGTTAACTGCTTTCCCTGGCCCTAGTCTATCCTTCTGTAATCTGTGCTTTACACTGCACAGGCAGTTTTGTTTAATGGCCAACACTTTCCTGCTTAAATACTTCAGTAGTTCCCAGCTGCCTTTAGAAAAAGTCCAGATGTTTTAGGATTACATGAACTTGTTTCCTCCCCTCTTCTGTGCCCTAACTACCCTGTGCCTCATAGGCACTCTGTAAATATTTGTTGAATGAATGCAGCACTATATCAAACTCATCAAGACATAACCAAGAACAAAGAGATTAGCTAAAGAAATGCAGTTGGGTACAGTGGCTTCCCAGGACAATATAGCCATAGCTTTCAGTAGAGCTAGAAGACTGGTGGTAGAGCTCTATCCGTTAGGAGGGAGTCCCCAAAACATGCCTTTACTATTAGATAACTCTTTGCCCTTACATATTCCTAAAATATATTACCCCCATTGACCTGGTAAACCATTGCATTTCCAGACTCAGTTCAAGTATCCCTTCCTGCATTAAACATCTCCAGACCTTTCTAGACAGAGGGAGTATATTGGTTCAACTTTTTGTAGCATAGTTTATAAAATGTAACAAGAGTGGTGAAAATATGAAGGCTCTTTAACCTAGGAATTGTACTTCTAGGACGTTACTTAACTAAAGAATTTGGCCTAATTATGGGCTTTAATAACCCATTCTATTCCCAGTTCTTCAACCTAAAGGAAAATTACAAACATCCTAAGAAGTAGAACTGGAATAGGATGGTTTATTTAAGACCATAAGTAGGCAAAATACTTCATTTTCATAGCTAGTATTTTCAGCCTTTACCACCTAATATTTCACTAGCACTGCGAATATGAATAATGCATAAAGTGTCCAAACAATGATTTTGTTCATAGCCTTTCCATGTAACTCTGAATACTCTGATTGCCTCTCCCTCTGACCTCAGGGGCTTAATCTTAATTAATTAATTAATTAATTAATTAATTTTTTAAAAAGATGACCGGTAAGGGGATCTTAACCCTTGACTTGGTGTTGTCAGCACCACGCTCAGCCAGTGAGCGAACCGGCCATCCCTATGTGGGATCCGAACCCGGGGCCTTGGTGTTATCAGCACCGCACTCTACCGAGTGAGCCACGGGCCGGCCCTTAATCTTAATTTAATATTGATCCAAATAAAAGTTATGCTATCAATAAATCATATATCCCAAAGTCAAATTGGAATTCCTTTTAAAGTATTATAAAAAACATAATTAAAGCCTTCCACAGAGATATTCATGAACACATTGTTGATAATCCAGAAAAATTAGAAAAAACCTAAAATTACAGACTAAGAGATTAATTGGATAAACTGGTATATTTAACGATGGAATATTACACAGTCAATAAAGCTAATGTAAAAATAGACTTAATGTAGAATGAAATATCAGTATGGCTACACTTTGGGGGGTTGGGCGTATGTGCATATGCATATGCATGCACAGAAATAAAATAGGTATACACCAAAATGTTAATTGTGATTATCTCCAAGTGGTGGGATTTTGTATTCTTTTATTTTCTTTATCTGTGTTTATCTATGTTTTCTCATTTTTCTCAATGAACATGCATTACTTGTGAATTCAAAATAATTTGGCTTTGAGATCTATTACATGTGTTAGCAGCAGACTTACTATTTGATATGAGTGTGCCCTTATTCTATTTCAGCTGAAATTATTTGAAGTTGTCTTCATTATTTCCTTCGAGTATTCTTTTGTAGAGTTGCTAAAGAAAAATCATAAAACTAAAAGGCAAGAAAAGCAACTGGACTAGATACTTAGAGAATTAGATAAGTTTGGATAAAATAGGCATAATGGATAGCTAGAAGATAGAGTTTGACTTTCCTTTTTTCAATGAATTAATTTGTTTGTCTTCCATTTTTAAAAGCATGCTTGTCCTATTTTCAATGAAGAATTGCTTCAAGTTACTTTCTAACCACAAAGTCCCAACAGCTGGCTTTAAAAACACAGTAAAAAATGGGCTAATTTTACAGTCAGTTTCCAATGATGTTTATCAAAATCTGGCTGTAGAAGACTGGATCCATGACCATATGAATCTAGAAGGCAAGCCAATTCTTTTCTTTTGGAGAAATTCTCCCTCTGTTGTAATTGGTAGGCATCAGAATCCTTGGCAGGAATGTAACCTGAATCTGATGCGAGAAGAAGGAATAAAACTGGCTCGGAGAAGGAGTGGAGGAGGAACCGTCTACCATGATATGGGTAATATCAATTTGACTTTCTTTACAACCAAAAAGAAGTATGATAGAATGGAAAATATGAAATTAGTTGTGAGAGCTATGAATGCTGTCCAACCCCAGCTGGATGTACGGGCTACCAAAAGATTTGACCTTTTACTTGATGGACAGTTTAAAATCTCAGGAACAGCTTCTAAGATCGGCCGGACTACTGCTTATCACCACTGCACTTTATTATGTAGTACTGATGGGACCTTCTTGTCTTCTTTACTAAAGAGCCCCTACCAAGGGATCAAGAGCAATGCCACTGCTAGCATACCTTCTGTAGTTAAAAATCTTTTGGAAAAAGATCCGACTCTGACCTGTGAAGTACTGGTGAATGCTATTGCTGCAGAGTATGCTGCTTATCATCAAATTGATAATCACATTAACCTAATAAACCCAACTGATGAGACATTGTTTCCTGGAATAAATAGCAAAGCCAAAGAACTGCAAACTTGGGAGTGGATATATGGCAAAACTCCAAAGTTTAGTATAAACACTTCCTTTAATATATTATATGAACAGTCACACTTGGAAATTAAAGTATTCATCGATATAAAGAATGGAAGAATTGAAATCTGTAATATTGAAGCACCTAATCATTGGTTGCCACTGGAAATATGCAACAAATTAAATTCAAGTTTTATTGGCAGTAAGTTTTGCCCAATCGAAACTAACATGCTAACAAGTATATTACTGAGAACATGTCCTGAAGACCGTAAACTACACAGTAAGTGGAATATACTCTGTGAAAATATTAAGGGAATAATGTGATTCCAAGTAAATTTCATTATGCTGACAATTTCAGTGCAAAAATAAAATTTTGAAATGCACATTGGATGTCTCTTTAAAAAAAAAAGGCCTAGTCTTTTAGTAACTTCTCCCCATTTGAAATTATCACCTATTCTTGTACATATTCTCTGTTGATCTGTAGGATACTTTCTTTCTTAATTGATTTTAGTACTTGGCACACATTTATATTTTATTTTTTTATTTTATTTTAAATTTTTATTGAATCAAAATTGATTATACATATTTTGAGGGTTCAACATTGATATATGTTGATCAAATCCACATGTATATTTTAGCTTTTATATTCTACAATTTACTGTCACAATTATATTTTACATTTACTGTCTTGGGAATATATGCCATACTGGACACTTTAACCTCAGAATTAGTTCTTTGTTTTTCCTACCTCTAAGGAATATAACCCAGGCTTCTTGAAACCTCTGATATCTTAAACTCTGAAATTCCCCCTTTTAGTTATATTTTCTTATTCTACCATCCTCTCCCACTAAATCAATCCCGTTGCATTTTTGTAAGCCCTTAACTCTTTCCTAATCTCTGCTTACTTCATTTCCCTTCCTACCCCAGCCTGAATTATTTAAGGTATATTGTACACTTTCTTGCTAGTATACTCATTTGTTTCTCTACTATAGCCTTTTTTTAAAATTTTTAATCTTAACAATTGATTTTCTACTCCTATCCCTAGATGGCAAGCAGTGGTGGAAAAAAAAGATCATACAATTATGCACATTAACCCAATTTCATATTTACAGTTTTCAATTTATGTATCTTCTTTCTTTTGGTATCAGATTCAACTCATCTCTGGTTGACTTACCCTCATTCCTTTTTTTTTTTTTTTTTTTTTTTTTTTTTTTTTTT